GCAAAGCGCTAGTTCCGCCCTCCAAATTTCAGAACCGTCTCGGAAGTACCGCAAAAGGGATGCAGAGCTGGACGGGTGAAACTCATATCTTTCTAGTTGCGCTGTCAATCAATGTTACTCATCCTGGTCATGTGAAAGCTGGCAAAAGATGGACAAATATACCATACCATAGTATTTTTTCGATTTTCTTAGACCCTAAACCTAATAACAAACTGTTTTCGATTATTTAATTATGTAATTCTCTAGTTTATAGGGCAACTGCTAAAATATTTCCAAAAAAGTCGTTATTGGTAACATTAATGTAATTTTTATACATATATACGTACGTATAAAATTGAATGCAAAATATAACCATAAAATTTAGTTCAGTTACACTTAACAGCAAAAGTCTGCGTACACCATTTCTTTTTTAAATATTCACTGTTATTTAGAGTTAAAATTTGTTTGTTATTATTTTATAAAAATATGATTATGCTTAAAACAAAATAATGTAAACCGTGTTCTAAAACTTTATACAAAACAAAGTTAAATTGTACGATTTTTCATCAAAAATTTTGACCTTTTAATCAGATTAAAAAAAATAAACTAAAGTGGTAAACAATCTCACTTTGAAATGGGGGTGCTATTGATATGATCGATAATGTACATACGTAAATATATCACTGAGCACCCGAAATTTGTAGTTATGCAGTGATTTTTTTTTTTAATTTCCGATGTTTTTCATTTTAAATATTTATCGTTAAGTTTTTTATCTAAGAACTATGTCTCATACTCCATAAACCATTTTAATTCAAATTCCTAACTGTGCTGCAAACTTGACAACTCTAAAAAACTGTCTTCAAATCTCAAATTTTTTAATCATAGATTTTTTTATAAATATCAAATTTTAGTGTAGTGAAGTGTAATCTTGCATCTTAAACGAAAATATTTAAATAAGAGAATACCTTCAAGTCGTGCGTAGAAAGAGTTATAAAAAATCAACGCGATTAATTATTCTAAAATTTAATGAGCTACAGAACTGCATATTTATAAACTCTGATTTTAAAATATTGAAGTTTTTATAACAGTTTCTAGAATTCTACTCAATTTCATCAAACACAGTTAGAAACGTGAATTTATTTGTTTATGTTATAATACTTATNTTATAAAAAATCAATTTCGATTAATTATTCTAAAATTTAATGAGCTAGAGAACTGCATATTTATAAACTCTGATTCTAAAATATTGAAGTTTTTATAACAGTTTCTAGAATTCTACTCAATTTCCAACACAGAAACGTGAATTTATTTGTTTATGTTATAATACTTATGACCCATCCTTAAATAAAAAATTTACGAAAAATATCTAGCATGAAAACCATTGTGAATATTCCAAATTCGATATATTCTTAATTCGATGCCGGAGTCTATATATTACGTTTCAATAAATTTAATACAATTTAACGCTGAGTTATCACAAATAAGCATTCAATATATCACCGGTTTTCTCATTTTTTTAAACGATTTAGTTTAGAGTTTTAATTAAAAGTATCCCGGAAATACCCATTATAGTACATAACAAATGTACATAAATTATTTTTAAGAATAACGGGTTTAGAATATGAAGGAATAACTGACACTTTATGTTCCTAATTTTAAAGCACAGTTTGCCTGAAAAAGTAAATTAGTGCAAAATAAATNTCCGGAAATACCCATTATACAAAACAAATGTACATAAATTATTTTTAAGAATAACGGGTTTAGAATATGAAGGAATAACTGACACTTTATGTTCCTAATTTTAAAGCACAGTTTGCCTGAAAAAGTAAATTAGTGCAAAATAAATAGCTATTTAAACATAAAATGAAGTATTTTTTATTTACAAAATTGTATGCATGCTTATTTAAAGAAAAGGCTCTATACTATACTTCTTAGAACCAGCTCAAAACTGACCAAATTTTTTCTAGCCCGGAGGTAACCCTTTTTGAACTATCTAGGAACTGNCATTTTTTCTAGCCCGGAGGTAACCCTTTTTAAACTATCTAGGAACTGTTGTTATATGAACTGTCTCAGAGCCATCTAAGCCAGAGTCCTCTTAGGACAAGTTCAAAAGTTCTTCAGAGGGCGACAATTGTCACTTCGTAGGACATCGCCATGTTAAAGAAGACAGTTGAAAGCATTGGCGCGTATTCATAGTCCGCAACTAAGTCGAAACTAACAAAGTTGCAACTTAAATTTAAGTACCAACTTAAAATTCACTTCTATTCATAGTCGCATTTCAGACTTCTACTAAGTAGTTTCGACTTAGTTTACGATATAACAAAAACAGCTGTTGTAGGTATGTGCAATGTGAAAATATATCGAAATTTCGTTTTTACGATATATCAAAAAACAGCATTTTTATTGAATTAATAATTTAAATTTTGATCGTTTTAAACGACATTTTAATTTTCAANACGATATATCAAAAAACAACATTTTTATTGAATAAATTAAATTTTGATCATTTTAAACGACATTTTAATTTTCAATGTATACTTTTCCAAAAGAAAATGGTTATAATTTCGTTTTAAAAGTGTAAACTAAGCAGTAAAACCGCAGTGTTATGAAGTCGGTGTTTATCGATAGTACGCTGTAAAACAAACAAACACATATCTAAACGATGTGTATTAATTTATTTAAAAGAAAACAAGAGGTTCACGATGGCTGCGGAATTGCTGAAAGTAAGTTAAGTTAAATGACAAGTCATTAATAAATTTTAACAAGTTTTATGTTTTCATTACAGAGAGAGCGTGAGGCGAATTGGTCCCATGAGGGAAAAAGACTGCTTCCGTGAAGTTATAAAGCCTTTGTTATAAAATTTACTATACTTCTTTATACAAATTACGAAATAAATTGACCATGAACAGCACCGTGCATATCGATAAAAAAGCGCTGCAGAACCTAGATGTGAGTGAGTGTAACTCAATTTCATTTATAAAAATCTTAAGTCTGGTTCAGTCTCGTTACTTTAAAATTCACTAATAAAAATCGTTATACTAATAGAACCATATCTATCTTAGTTCAGGTATATCAAAGGATCACTTTCTGGATTCGATTGGTCTTTTTTTATTTGCTCCATAAGTTGCTGTTTTTTTAATTCATGGAGTTCAATCATATGCTCCATTTGTAATGAATGGAGTTTTTTTTCGTGCTTTACTTTCAGCTCATGCATTTCTTCGCTTTGCTCTGCTTCCTTTTGGATTTGCTTTCGCCTTNTTTTTTTTCGTGCTTTACTTTCAGCTCATGCATTTCTTCGCTTTGCTCTGCTTCCTTTTGGATTTGCTTTCGCCTT